TTTTAGTAGAGACAGTTTCACCATGTTGGCCAGGCTGGTATTGAACTCCTGACCTCAGTTGATTCACCTGCCTCAACCTCCCACAGTGCTGGGATTACAGGCACGAGCTTCTTGCTTTTTGAATGAGGCTTCGTCCCTGGTGTTTTGGACATGTTTACAAATCTCTCATCCACAGATGTTCCTCCTTTTCTCTGTCAGGGGTTTGTGCCTTGTCATTTACAGGTGTCTCAGGAGGGAAGGGAGACAACGGTTTGTGCTCAGTGTACCCCCCTGAACCTAAAGGCTGGTGTAGAATTTTGCTCCTTTATAAGATTATACAAGAAAATACAATTATTTAAACTGTTCGAGTGAATTGCCTCCCCTCTCCTGCCTGCCTCCAGGTCGCGCCAGTAGAGGAAATGCTTTTTCATGGCTTCAGCGCAGAGCACTATTTTCCGGTTTCCCATTTCACCATGATCTCACATACACCCTGTCCTCAAGACAAATCGGAAACAGTCAACCCAAAAACATGTGAGTAAGGGAGAGGCCATCTTTTATAATTTGGGGCTTTTAACATTGCAGAACCAAAGGGTGGGTATGGAAGTGGACAGACAGACCTCAGGATGCCACATACATAGGAAAGAATGTGTTCTTGTTTTATTTTTAAATGTCCTTTATTTCACTGATGTATCTTTAAAGTTAAAAAAGTAATAAAGAAAATAAGTAACAAAAAGCATACTTTGATTTTATGCTAAATAAAAAGTAGGAAAAGAGAACAGTAAACAAATGTAGCTGGCTGTGATGGCTTATGCCTATAATATCAGCACTTTGAGAGACCAAGGCAGGAGGATTACTTGAGCCCTGGGAGACCTCATCTCTACATCTATATAAAAAATGAAAATAAAAAATTATAGCCAGACATGGTGGCTCACGCCTGTAATCCCAGCACTTTGGGAGGCCAAGGCGGGAGATCATTTGAGGTCAGGAATTCAAGACCAACCTGGCCAACATGGTAAAACCCTGTCTCTACTAAAAATACAAAATTTAGCCTGGGGTGGTGGCAGGAGAATCGCTTGAATCTGGGAGGTGGAGGTTGCCGTGAGCTGAGATTGTGCCACTGCAATCCAGCCTGGGCGACAGAGCAAGACCCCATCTCAAAAGAAAAAAAAAAATTAGCCAGGCGTGGTGATGCACGCCTGTAACTGCAGCTACTCAGGAGGCTGAAGCAGGAGAATCGCTTGAACCCAGGAGGAGGCAGAGGTTGCAGTGAGCTGAGATCGCGCCACTGCATTCCAGCCTGGGCAACAGAGCAAGACTCTGTCTAAAAAAAAAATTGGCTGGGCGTGGTGACATGTACTTGTAGTCCCAGCTACTCGGGAGGCTAAGCTGGGAGGATTGCTGGAACTCAAGAGGTCTAGGCTGCAGTGAGCTATGATCATGCCACTGCACTCCAGCCTTTTTACAAAAAAAAAAAAAAATGTAAAAAGCAGAAGAAAACATCATGCTTCTCTGCTTTGTGTGTAGAAGCCAGAGGTGTAGACTGCAGATCTGAGTCATAGTTCCTTGGGCCCTCCCCGGTGCCAGACCATCTCCTGCTGGTTTGTTCTGTGCCTCCTGCATGCTTTAGGCCTTGGCTGACCACTGCCTTTATTACTCTGACCATAGTGCCTTATCCATTACACTCTCACTCCCAGTTCCTCTCTGGTTCCGATTCCCACCACACTTCCCTTGTTTCTGTCTCTCTGGCCACACTGGCCCCCTTGCTATTCCTGCTTTGGGGTCATAACAAGCTGATGGACCTGGCCTTATGTAGGATACTTCCTACATCTTCACCAGACTACAGAGGCTCAGAGGGACATTTTAAGTTATTTTAGTAATACAGCCCAGCTCTGCAGTCTGGAGCAAAATATAACATCTAAGATCCTGTGACTGAATGGACAGGACCTTTTTCTGGTTCAAAAGTAAACATTTCTCCCAGATTAACTTGGGCCACTGGGGATTTGCAGCAGGAGTTTTCGTTTGTTTCTTTTAGGTTGTCCCAAAGAATATTTGGAAACTTTCATCTTTCCTGTTCTGCTTCCTGGAATGGCTAGCCTGCTTCATCAAGCGAAGCAAGAAAAATGTTTCGAGGTCAGTTGCTTGGCAGGATTTATTTTGGGATTCTCAATAATTTATTATTATCAGATGATTGCTCATTATCTTGGTACCATCAAGTTGTTCTCCAGATGACCCCTTCGGGAGGGAAAGCCTGTGTTTGGGGTCACTTAGCCAGTTCCAGCCACACCATCTAGTTGTGCACATACGTGCACTGCCATCTGTCTGGCCACTTGGACTCCGGAGAGGTTTTCCGCCTTGCTTGGCCTCCTGCCTGCCCTTCTCCTGTGCAATTTGGCATCCACCAGGTTTCTTGGGTCTTCGACTTCTGTTTATTATGTGCACTGATTAGAGCTCTCCTTGGCCGGGCACAATGGCTCACACCTATAATCCCAGCACTTTGGGAAGCTGAGGAGGGAAGATCGCTTGTTGACAGGATCAAGACCACTGGGCAACACAGTGAGACCCCCATCTCTAAAAAAATTTTTTTTTAGAGAATGGAGTCTCGCCCTGTCGCCCAGCCTGGAGTATAGTGGCATGATCTCGGCTCACTGCAATCTCCCCTTCCTGGGTTCAAGTGATTCTGCTGCCTCAGCTTCTGGAGTAGCTGGGACTACAGGCACATGCCACCACACCCAACTAATTTTTGTATTTTTAGTAGAGACAGGGTTTCCATGTTAACCAGGCTGGTCTCAAACTCCTGACCTTGTGATCCACCTGCCTCAGCCTCCCAAAGTGCTGGGATTATAGGCATGAGCCACTTCGCCCCCAGCCTCTAAGAATTTTTTTTTTTTAATTAGCTAGGTGTGGTGGCACATACCTGTAGTCCCAGCTATTTAAGAGGCTGAGGCAGGAAGATCCTTGAGGCCAGAGGTTTGAGGTTGCAGTGATCCACGATCACGTCACTGCAAGGAACGTACTCCACTGCACTCCAGCGTGGGCAACAGCAAGACCCCCAACTCAAAATAAACATCCCACAAAACTCTCCTTACTTCTCCTTTGCTCTGGACTGACTGTTCGCCCTGGCCTCTCTCCGTTCCATGCCAACTGTCATGAATGTAAATTGCTTGCAGAGAGACTTGTAACACAGTAAGTGCTCAGTAAATAACAGTTAACATTGCACTGCAGAGAATCATCTCTACAAACCGAGTTCCGATCCTGGCCTACCCCCATGTGGATACCCTTAGAGGGTCCCTCTTTTCCATGGTTCACATGATACTTTGGGTGTATGTGTTTCCTGCACAGTTTTGAATTCTAGAATTTTGGATGATCCAGATGAATAGAGTAAAATTACAACATTTGATATTGACCAAGCACTCGCTCTTTGCCGAGCACTTTGCCGAGTGCTTTATCTTCCATTATTGCAGTTGCTCTCCCCAGCCATGTGAGCTTCCTTCTATCATTATCATCTGCACTCTGCAGAGAGGAAATGAAGGGACACAGAGGCCTGAAATGTGATCAGGGGTGAGTGGCAGAGTTAGGATTCAAATCTAGATTAAATGATTCAAAATGATACTACAGGCTGGGTACAGTGGCTCAAGCCCGTAATCCCAGCACTTTGGGAGTCCAAGGCAGAAGGATTGTCTGAGCCTAGGAGTTCAAGACCAGCCTGGGTTACAAAGTGAGACCCAGGATCTACAGAAAAAAAAAAAAAATTAGCCAGGCCTAGTGGTGCATACCAGCTGGTGTAGTCCCAGCTGCTCAGGAGGTAGAAGGATCAACTGAGTCCTGGAGGTTGAGGCTGCAGTGTGCCATGATCATGCCGCCCACCCCAGCCTGGAAGCAGAGCAAGAAAAAAAAAAGATACTAAAAAAAATTGGCAGTAATTACGGTGTAAGCCTCAGTGAGTCTGACACATCCTGGGATCTATAAAATTACTCATAGTTAATGATACCACCCAAGTAGTTGCCCTTCAGCACGGGGTCCCCATCCGAGAACAGCTGCATACCGCTGTGCTGGTACTTCTATATACCGAGGAGTTAAAGTTCCCACATGTTCTAGCAAATACTCAGTTTTTCCCCATCAGTGCCTTGACGGTATCCTGCCCCCTTTGCCTCTTAATCACGCCATATTATACTTCCCCCTAATTGCCTGCCACTTAATCCACTTAGCATAACATTCCTTTGACAGGCCTCACCATGACAGTTGTGTCTTTACTTGAGACAGAAATGGATGATGAGACATTGATAAGAATTTGGGTAGCATACCTAGGAAGGAGGAATTTGGGATCTCCCTCTGGGCCGTGGTTCACCACTGGCCAACAGCAGATCCATGTGATGAAGTCACTAGCTCTCAGCCTAGCTTTCAGGGCTCTGCCTAGTTCATTTGTTCCTTGGTTCTTTCCTTCCTTCCTTTCTCCCTCCCTCCCTCTTCCCCAGTGCCCACCTTCCCGATGGTACCCTCCACCCAAGCAGAACCACTCGGAGTTCCCTGAACTAGCCCCCACCTCACAGCCTCCTTGCATCTGCTCCTGCTTTTTTCGGAAAAAAAAATCCCTGAGCTCCTCTTCTCTGCATATTTAAGTTCTACTTGCTTTTCTAAACTCAGCTCCGTAACTTTTCTCTCAAGCTTCCAGTTCCCTGCTGGGCTCAAACTAGAAGTAATTGATCCCAGCTCTCAGATTTCAGAGTATTTCATCTGTTCCTCATTTTATGGCAAATTAAGACATCCTTAATTAAGACATTCTTAGCCCACATATACTTAATTTATGCATGTCTGTCTCCCCCCGTAGTTTAAGTTCCTTGAGGACAGCTTCTCTGATTTATTTTTATATCTCTAGTCAGTGCTACCCAATGCCTAGCACATGGTGAACACAGAGTTGGACCTTGATAAATGGTAAATAAGTGAGTGCTTGATTACACATCAGGGTGTGTCACTGTTACTACGTCCTTGACCAAAACCCAGCTTCCTTCTATCTGGGAAGGCTGTTCTATTGGACTCATCCCTGGAGAAATTCCCTGGAGGGATGAGGGAAGAAGATGTGCATCTACTTCATGAGTTTGGTTGATGGGGGAGAGCAGTGGGGGCCAAATAGCACAGCCTGACCACCCCCCCGACTTCATATTAATTATGCAAGTAATTAGCAAATTGGGTCTTGATCTATAGCATAGCAGCTAAGAGCAACACTTGAGTCAAAGTTACCTGATTTTGAACCTCCATCCTGACTAGCTGCACAGCCTAGGACAAGTCATTTCATCTTTCTGAGCCATTATCAGTTCCTTACATGTTAAATGAGGACGATCATAGCACCTGCTCATGGGATTATTATGCTGATGAAATGAGGTAGCTCACGTAAAGTGCTTAGGCCAGTCCCTGGAACCCAGGAAGAACGCCATACATGTTAACTTATTTATCTTAGTGATACAGTGGTACAGGTACTTCCCAGATACCGTGGGCTGCACCTGCTGCCTGCGTGGCTTCACTCTTGTTCCTCAGCCATCTGGGGTCCTGATTCAGGACCTGGTCCCAGTTCCCAGAAAAACCACCCAATTCCACAGTGATCTCACAAGGAAGATCACTGTGGGTGATCTTTTATGGGTCCTCTCACGGGAAGGAGGCAAGGGGATTTTGTTGGCACTTAGCAAGAAACACTTCATTAATCCTCTCTGGAAGCATTTCTGACCCTCCAGGAACCCCCTCCCCATGCTCGCTCTTCAGACCCCTTCTGGATCCTGAACAACCGAGCTGTGGCTCTCAGCCTGCATGGCCCGCTCAGCAAGGCCAAAGTCTGGCATACAGTGTTCCTTCCTCTCTTAAATGCAATTCAGCCGTCTCGTAGCCCTTGCGGGTAGAACTGCAGGTGGGGCTTCACATCTCTCAGCCCAACAAAGATACAGTTGTAAGGTTTTCCTCGTATTACTTTGTCAGAAATCCTAGTTTTGACACAGAGGCCTGGTAAATTCAAATCTGGGGACTTCAGTCCCCCCTCTTTCTCCTGATGTGCTACTATAGATGTGGTTGCCATATTTGAACCTTGGAAGACCATAATGATCAGATCCCTTATTTTCACTAACGAGAGGGCACTATGCTGATGAAGACTGTAAATAGAAAAAGCTGGCAAAGTAAATGTCAGTGATTCGGGTACTGATGATTAAATCCAGATAACTGCTCTCCTGACACCTGTGGTTTGACTACTGCTATGATAATCATCAAAAATTGTATCAAAAGTCAGAGAAGGCCTGGTGTGGTGGCTCATGCCTGTAATTTCAACACTTTGGGAGGCTGAGGAGGGTGGATCACTGGAGCTTAGGAGTTCGAGATCACCCCGGGTAACATGGCAAAACCCATTCTCTACAAAAATTAGCTGGGCATGGTGGCAAAAAGAGGAGCTCTCTTACTGATCAGTTGCTCGCTGTGGGTCAGCACTGGTCAAATGCTTCCTATGCCCATCACCTTGTTTCACTCTTACAATAACCTTCTGAGCCAGATTCTCTTTTTCATCACATCCTTTTATGGACGATGGCCCTGGAACGCAGAGAAGTTGAGCATTACTCAAGGTCACCTAGTAAGCAGCAAACAGCACACATCGCCAACCAAGGCCCAGGTGATCCTGAAGCCTGGCTTTCCATCCCTCCCAGTAAATGGGAGTTGGAGGCTGTCCTCAAAATAGCTCCCAGAGATACTGATTTTTTTTCATTCATAGCTATTTTCTGAAGAACAGACTGCTCACTTGCCTTCAGTTATCAAATTTAAACTGCTTCTAATTCTTACCTGTTTTTCATTTGCTCACTTGGCTTTTCCTGACAATTTAATTCTTGTCCACCACTCATAACTGACCTTCCCCTGCTGCAATGATAATCATCAGAAATTGTATCAAATTGTGGTGTGATATAGTTGGTAGGTATCCTGTGGTTAAACAGGTGCAAGGTGTGGCTGAGTGGAAGGCGAGTGAGGGTGGGCTGAAGAGTGGTCCCAGAGCAGACCCTCAGCCTGGCCATGCCATTGTCAGATGGCTTTGTCTCTCTGCCTTCCATTCTGCCGCTAAATGAGGAAAAGTACCTCATGAGTCACATGTCAGCAATTGTATCACTTTTTTC